GAAAACAAGAGCTGTTTGTTGGTTCCTGAATGCTGCCACTAGGACAGCAATAAGCTGATTCTGAGTAATCTCAGTACTTCTCCAGGTCAAACATAACAATGTTATGGCTCAAGGCAAACACACTGTGTAGGACAGAGAGCAAAAGGACTTGTAAAAAAACCCAAAGCTGCAGATGAAATGCCTTTTCTTGCTCTGCTTTTTCTGGGAAAAAGCCTCCTTTTTGCTCCCATTTCACACAATGTCTTCGAGTTCTTACCGGAACGCAATTCAGTGGACAGAAACCAGATGCATTTAATTCCAGAGGGGAAAAGGGAAGCCTGCTTGTGGGAAAAGATAAGCTGGACAGAAAAATCCTATTATTTAGTTAAGTGGCTGCAACAGGTGAGCACCTGTCCACAGAAGAATAAATTCTGGATAGAAATTTCTTCCTCCTCCCCTTACTGGCCAAAGAAAGGTCACCATGACAGTGACTATATAAACAGAAGATGACAGAACACTTTTGCAGATGGGAGGTAAAGGAGAAAAACAGATGCATCTCTAAAATAGTCCCCCAGACTAAACAGTCCTTTCTCTTGAAGGCTTGAATGTCTTCCTACATGCATGGGCTACCAGCATGCTTCTTGCTGTTGAGTGATGCTTACAAGTTCGGAAGAAACAGAATAGGGGTGGTATTTCAGAATCTTATTTTTTTTTCTTCTACATTCATGACTCCCAGTAATGACACCCTAGCAGCCCCTTCTTTTTGCAAAACTGACCTAGGAAAAATGCAGCAGCACAAAATAAGATCACAGCCAGACACCCACGGCTTCAGTGAAGGACTGAATAAGCACAGCATAGAGTTAGAAATTGCTCTCAAGAAGAATCAGCCTAGTATTATGTTATGACTATGCTTCTCTCAAAAGCTTCATGCAAGTTTTGGGTATTCTTGTGGTCACAAATCACAGAGTCCTTCAACTAGTAACATTTTTAACAGCAGTCACAATCACCTTAAAAGGAATTAATAGCACAAAGTTACGTTACAGCATCTCCCTCTGACAGAAAGAAGTAGAGGAAGCAACAGATGGACGTGTTTAATTAACAAGCTGCCAACACAGAGTCATTTTTGGATTTCAAGTAAGCGTAAAGAATCATGGCAAAATATCTCTTGCTATCCATGGCTTTAGAGCAGAGTGGTTAGCCTGCATCTATATTCAGAATTTTAAAACAGCTGCACAGATGTAGGACTGTTCATAACTTTGAAAACAAAGCACTCTGCACACTTGCAAATGCATTCTTTGACCGTAATGCACTTTTGAGCTTAAATACAAGCACTGCCGTCATCCTGGAAAGCAAATGAAAGAGTCCCTCCCAACACACAGAAGTATCACCTTTTCTTCTGTGTTCCGTTCCCCTAAATCCCTACATACCACCATCTCCACACTCCTTGCTGCCACAACATCTTTGGGTTTTGCATCTTTGGTTCCAATGTAGGAGCCGATGGTGTCACAGGACCAGGGAGAGTACTGGCTATAGTCATTTCCTTTGTATTTCCCAGCTACCTTCAGGTCTTCATCCAAGTACTGTACAAACACAAAAATCTGGTTCTGTAAGTGAAGGGAAGAAGCAGCTTCACAGCCACCAGTACTTAGTTCAACAGCAGTGAACTTGAAGAAAAACACCACCAGGATTATTTTTTTTAATCGGATACATCACCATTTGGAATTGGGCCACGGCAAGCACGAAATGTGTGAAATTCTGATCACCTGGCTACACTCCCAGTGATGACTGTTCACTTGGCCAGTATGAAAGTGATATTTTGACCTTGGTTAAAAAAAATAAACCTCTATCAAGCTGTTACTTTATTCTAAACACATCGGGAGCAAATGAAGCAAAGTCCAGTAACCATGAAAACTGACTACTTCAATTAATAATGGCTCAAAACTAATGCTATTGGTTGCACCAAAAGCAGATAGCTTAGGATCAGTGGTCGAAGAGAATCAACAGCCAATCAAGATATCGGAGACTGCACTGTAAGGGCTTCCCACCTGCAGCACAAAATCTACCCCCACCCCCCAACACTGTACTGTTCTAATTTTCTTGTTATCTTCACCTATCACCACACACAAACTCCAAAGTATTTTCTAAACATGCTAGTAAGTCACATTTTTGTCAAAATAAGCTTACCTCCTCTGAATGAAAAGGATGAGGCAAGGTTGGTGATGGTGCAAAAGGAGGTGGAGAAATCACCTTCCTCTCTTCTAGCTGGGCCATGATCTCTTTCCTTCGTCGGTGAAGTTCGTCCAGGCTGGGATGTGGCTGAAATGAAGACAGAAATACATTACAAAATATGGCAACCATATGCTGCAAGAAAAGGAAAATACATCGAATTGACAGTACTACTGTATACAGTATTGTATACTATATACAATACTCATTATTGTATTACTTACAATAATAAGTAACGATCACTTTGTTAAAGGTTATCTGTTAGCTTTCATATTTCATATAGGACATGCATGTTCCTACACTGGCCAGAGTGTGAGTTCAAGACACCCCAAAGGCAAGGAATGTTATTTGCCTAAAACTGATTAGGTCCTCAACTAAATCAGTGTCTCTAACTTTAAAACTACTAATCTTTTAACTCACAGGTAGCTCAACATGACTGTGTGTTCCAACTTGGCAAAGCTTCCACTGGAACATGTTCCAGCATGGCACGTCCCCATTTCAGTCATATGGGGGGAAGTGGTAGAATGCTACAGATCATAACCTAGTCACAGTTCGTTTCCATTTATTATTAATTTTGCAATAGAATTAAACATCCCACAAATGTGTCAAACTCAAAACTGATAAATCTAAAAGCTACATTAAAAATGCTTCCTGGACTCAGCAATATGATTCAGAGCCTTTAATCTGAATGACAGCTACGTAAGTCCAACTATTCTACAGGACTCAATTCCAGCTGGTGATTTACCAAAACAAGTTTGTACACTTCTACTAGGAAGACCCTCCAGTTAGCAATCTTAAAGTAGAGAAAATCTGGAAGAGCAGAATTTTTAGTTCCTTCATCAAGGGATGTACGTTTGCATATTTATTTATTTAGGCGCAGAGATGGTCAGTCATAGATGAGCAGTACAAGAATGTACACACGACCATTTGCACTAGAAAAAGAGTAGCCCTCTCCAGCCTGATCTTTGTTGGAGAAGTCAGGGCCATACGAGACTTCCAAAATTAATTACAAAGCTTTTCTACTTCGAGCACTAAGTAGCAGCCTACTCTTTTACATATTAACATCATTACAATTCCAGAGTTCACCAGTAATTAAACTGCCTCCCAGTTTTTGATCAGCTTCGTCAAATGTACCCCTTCTTAAAGTTCAAACTTCTAATTCCTCACAAAACCGATCACATTACTGCAAAAATATTCAACTTCAAGTAGTTTATATTTTCTCTCTCAAACAACTACAAAAACACAATATAAAAACCATACCCTGTGGCATGAAGGTCTGATCTGATTGAGATGTGGAGCCACTGGGCAGTAACCCTCTGTTTGCTGGTATCTGTCTCTGGATTCAGGTACGTAGGAAGGTACAGCTGCTTGTGGAATTTCAATGGGTACAGGGCTTCCTCGGACAATCTCCTCTCGCTGATATGGCTGGACAGGGGGATATACGCGACGGCTGTCGTAGTGTGGTGGGTATATGGGTTGTCCCATAGGAGGATACTGCTGCGGCTGCGTGTACTGTGGGCTCACCACACGATCCTGAAGGTAGGGTGGGTAATGGTCTAAATAAGGTGGACCAGGTTCAGGAGCTGATGGAGGCGGTCGGACAAAGCGAGACATGGACTGAGTGGGATAGTAAACTCCTGAAAGAAGGGCAAGAGGAAAAAACACAAACAAGATACAGAAAGCAATTATCACAACTGTCCACAAAAACAAATTGTTTCAAATACTCCAGTCTACAAGTATCATGAAGAGAATGGTATAAATTAATTCACGTGTTGTTTGCCCCCACTGTCTAACCGGTATTTCTACTCAAAAATTAACCGCAGAAAACCTAGAAAAAAGCAATAGTTGATCCAAAGCTCAAGTGACACAGTTTAATTATCTAAATAAGATACCAGCAAGGTGTAAAGGTTACAGTAGCTGGAGAAGAGGTGATGAGACTGAGCCCATCACAGGTACCACAGAAGTCCTCCTAGCATACCAAACAGAAATAATTCACTAGAACGTCTCTGCAGATTGATACGAATGCTTTTAGCTACACAAGACCTAAAAAGTAAACAGAAGATTAGCCTGTACATCTTTATCCACGCAACTAAAATTCAATTTGTCCCAACATATCAGAATCACTGCCTGTGTAAAGAAACTTGGATTAATTAGAATTTAAAGTTATCTAAAGATTCGTTCTACCTCTTGAACAGTAGAAGGAAATTTCAGTACTGTGAATCACCAAAGACTTCTAAGATCACACCTTCTAGTTACCTGAAGATTTTCGTAACCTATCTGGGATCTCTGGATAATTTAAAAATATGCATGAATATGCACATGTTAATTATGCACACATCAAATTTTGTGGACAACTCAGATCTTCATTTGCACATAATAATCAAATGTAAGCTTTTTCTTTTTTCTTCAAAATGCTCTGCAACTTTAAAAAATGGTTCCCGCCCCCCACCCCTTTCCTTTCTAGGGATTTTTCTTCTTTCCACTTCTTTTGGTCTTTCATTCCTTATTTTTCTTTCGTATTAACTTCACTTTATGTCATTTCTCTCTCCAATCTTATGTTGCAAAAGAATCATTCCCTGTCTTTATATATAGCCATACTTTTTCTTTTTAATCCCCTTCAATATTATCTTTCTCCACTTGGTCTCTTTATACTCAGAACTTTTCCTCTTATTTCCTTTTTTATGATGGTTTCTTTTTTGTGCCCAGCCCTTCTCTAATTTCACTGTCTCTACCCATCACATGCATGTGCAGACATTTCTGAAACACTCATACACTTTTCATTAAGGACCTAAGTACTTTCACTCCTCAAGCATAAACCCCTCTGCTGGTTAAGCTTTATTTCCATTTTCCCTGAGTCAAATTGAATTAAGGTTTACCATAACCCTGATCTAGCCCAGTTGGGAAGAACTGAAGAAAGAAGGATTAGCTACACTGGATGGATACAAAACTCTGTTTTCACTTGCGTTAAAGTCCTCAGTCAAGACATAAATTTCCATTTTATTATGCCATCACCACATTAGTGCCTACAGTCCATGTGATATGCAAGAAAACTCCACCTTAAGGGCTTGAGTAAACACCAGAATGGGAAGAAAGAATAAAATCAGTATGAAGATCAAAGATAGAGATCTTGGTCTCAAACTTACCTTGTTGGTAGGGTGCTGGCTCAAATGGTGGCGCAGCGCCTCTAGGGTCTTGATAAAACATATCTGCTTGCTGAGTATTATACAACTGAGACCCTCGTGGTACCATTTGCAACTGCTTGGTGACGGACACTGAAGGCAGATCTGTTGGTGCCCGAGCAGGCACAGGATGAGGGTTCACTGGTAAGGCAGAAATAGAGCTCTTGGGGACAGATTCAAGCCTAAAAAGTAGAAAGATGGCATTGCTCATTAAGGCCTGATATAGCACACTGTACTTTAAAACACTGTTCTTTGTCTATATTGCACCTTCTGAAGGCTTACATCACCTTCTCCAATTAAAATAGAAGCAAACAGGGAAGTAAAGCAGTTTAGAGTTTTAGCTTTAGTTTTCTACTCTACTCTTTATAATCACTTAAAAAAAAAAAACAAACCAAAAAAACCTTTTGTGTTTCTTTTGTAGAGAATGGGCTTACTTTGTTTCTACTGCTTATTTACACACATGACACCTTGAACAACATTTAGGAAGACCCGTACAAGTCAGGAGGGGATCCAGGGGCACTGCTACTCAGATGGTCCATCTTCCCTGGCTTCAGAGCAGTTTCGTAACCGGAGTCAGTCCCTCGAGAAATAAGTTGCGTCACCGTGCTGCCTGTTGACACAATTCCATTTGGCAGAGCAGAAGTTTTCCTATTGGGCAAGTCCACTCCCCCTTCCTCTGAGAGGATAGCTCCTGAAGGCAGGCCCACCTCATTTAGCTGGCCCAGGGAGGCACTCAGGGGTCTTCTGGGAACCAGACGCTTGTTCATTTTACGGAATCTTCAGAAAAAGAAACCACACATCAAAAATTGAAACAAAAAACTAAAAGGAGTTGCATTTTCAGGATTTTTCAAACACAGATGCTACTGAAATCTTCAAGTTTTAATTCAAGTTTCCTAAGGGCTTGTGAAAAATTTATTATGAATATCTGTTAAACTACAACTTCACTACTATTTCAACTGTTAATAGCAGTTTCAATCAGAAGAACAAGGATGGATTTTTAATGACAAGTACACCAAGAATTCACAGCTAAACTTCACACAGCAAGTTTAAAATATTATTTCCTGTACGTATATGCATTTCAACCGTACGGAAGAAAACCAAAACCAAACCCAAAGATCACATAAAATACTACCTATAGTTACAGAAGCTTCAGAATAAGAATCAATCCTATTTTATTCAGGGAAGAAACTAATAGCAGAAAATTAAAGTGACAAAAGATGAACAGATTCCCTTTTGCACCATTTGTCCCACAAGCCAAGTCAAGCCTTTATTGCCATGTGATATCTTTTAAAGCACAGTTCGTTAAGATTTATGTTACTATACCAATATGTAGCTTACACCATTTGTGTTATTTGATAAATTGACTGCAGAGATAAAAACTCTAACACTGTAATTCCAAGAATCTAACTGCTTCTGGTAAGTCTGAACAAACACGAGTCTTTTAACTAATGTTTCACAAAAATCAGTAGACTGATGGTATTGGACCAATGAAGAGAGCAAATTTCAAAGTTGAAGGTCCTCCACTAAACATCCTGCCATTAGCTTAGATACCAGGATGCAAGTGGGAGGGCATATTTGTAGGCCTGAGTGTTCCCGCTGTTTATATCGTAGAACGAGAGGCCATTTCCTATGCAAGAAGGTTTCACCAGGGTTGAAGCCAATGCTTTCATATCATATCTAACAAGCAAAGTGAGATGGTAACACAGACTAGGAAGGTACACACATTATTGTAGAAAATAGAAAAAGGGGGCAGTTATACTCTATTACTCAATCTTCAGATAATCTTTATGTTTGCCCATATGCACAGCATTAACAGCAATGCAACAGAAGCAAAAAAGGTCTTTTTGTTGTTGTGGGGTTTTGTTGTGGTGGTTGTTTTTTAGATGTGACTGAGTATAGGGTCAGACAAAGTGTAACCTTGCTATATAGATTTGAGCTGATCATCTGTAAGAGTTTGTTGACTGTCTTCTAGCCACGTTCCTAACTCTCCATCAACACCCCAATTTCCTAGCTAGATTAATCTTTACCCACATAATCAAACTATAAATTCAAGCTACATAGCGTTGACAGTGGGCATCATTCAGAATACATTAAAAGGGAGTAAACAAACCAGGCTATCACCACAGAAGTACATGAGTAGGACAGACTACAGCTTTCTAAACATATACTGCTCAGAAGTCGTTCTGGCATCTCATGTCAGCCATACAAGTCAGCTGGATGCATAGAGGCGAGCGGAAGTGAGCTCCGCAGGCTGAACTTACTGCTTTACTTCGGCATCCTGCTCAATACCCAAACCAGTTTCTCCCTGCAAAGCAGCAGCAGGATGTTGGGAAGCCACTGCCATGTTCTCCCTGCCAATTACTTCTGGACACCTGCCTGCCATCAGGTCTCTTAGAGGTACAGTGTCTGATGGCTCCTGACTCTCTGAAGGCTTGCACACAACTTGCAAGATGAGGACAACTGGCCATCCCTGCCCATTCATCTAGAACACAACAGTATGCTCAAGAGACAGACATGTGTATAGACACCCATTCAATCAAAGGTGACAAGAAGAGTTTATATAGCACCCTCCATGATAAAATACTTAGAAAGAATAAAAGTTGCACACAGTGCTGCCCTCTGGATTTTTCTGAACAATTTTATGAATCTTTGTTGCAGTCTCCACACGTGCAGGACAAAAATAATCTAAAAAAGTTTGATACTTGTCTATGCACGCTGGGTCTTTGTTCCTTGCCAAAAGGGGAATCAGCTGCTGTTTAAGCAAGTCTAGATTATAATTTGCTATCTAAGGCATTATCCCATACTTCCCGACAACCTTCCTGCAAACTTAAAGCTATATATAGAGATACAGGAACTACACAGCAACAGCAATGCCTATTATTCATACTAAACATTTTTAAAAGGAGGAACACTAATGCAATATCTACTCAAAGGAATTAAGCAAAGATAAAAGGTACAAGGAAGAATCAGAACTCAAAGTTCCCCAACCACCTACAGAAACCGCTGCAACCTGAAACAGAACAAGCATTCACTTCACCCCATAACAACAACATTACTAAGGCATACAAGCCAGTCTGGATAAAACAGGCCTCTTCCACCTGCAAAGCTGACGAACAGTCCTTCTTGATACATACAACTAGTTCAGAGGCACTAATACTGACTCACCACCTTTGTTAACCATCCAAACCAGCATTACCAATCTCCATTTTCTTAACATCATGACAAAAGGGGAAAAACCCCAACTGTTTCTGCAGAACACAAGTATCAAAGTCCTATTCTCTGATCATTTGAATAACTGCCTTTGTCATTCTATCATCACGTGCTCTGCTCTTTTTTTCTTCCCGTTTTGCCTATGTACTGCATGCTGGCTATAGAGCCAATGAACTGCCATATTAATGCTTCAAGTTTTAGACTTTAAAGGAAAAAAAAAAAAGAAAGACTGCATACATTTCCAAATCTTCAGAGTTTTCTTTTGAGTAAAAAAAAAAAAAGTGCCTTTTCTTGAAAGAAGTGAATGATTTTAGCCCAAAAAACAAGTAAGAAGTTATATATACTGCATAAATACAATACAACGTATTTTATTTCTTTTAACTCTTAAATAATCCATTTTACTTTCAAAAAAAAGTAAAACAACCTTCAGAACAGCACCAGCTTGCTCTTGGATAACTAGGTGCCCTCCTCTAAATCTGTAATGAATGTTACTTATTTACTGCAGCCTTCATATGACCACCATTTTTTAACTCTTCAACAATACCTTTAACCACTTTTAGGTTACTGCATGTGCAACCTGTCAAAGAGTTTCAAAGAATAACTGTTGCAGAAGGAAAACTTGCGATGCTCATTTTTATCTCTCTGGATAGCCCTAGCAGCACGGAAGAACAAGAGAACCCTACATCTGGAAAACTGCCAGCAACCTACTTCTCACACCTGAATATAAAGGCAAGATGAGAAATACACACAAATAAATGACCATAATGGATGCAGTCAAACAGCATGTTTAGTCACACTTGAGAAATAAGAAAAACAGCCCACCTTCAAAATCTCAACACTTGTGTAAACATCAAACTTTCAGAGCTGCATTACTGCTGAACAAAGCAAAATATCCTATGTTTAAGAACAAACAGTTCCAAAACCTGAGATGACTGTTAGAAGTTTTTCACATTATTTCTTGCTAATGTAACAGACAAGTTATGCCTCCTCTCCCCATTTCTAGATATGATAAATAACTCTTATGGATAAGATGAAACAAAGATTGGACTGATTTCTACCATAAGAGGTACACTTACTTTTCTAGTTCCTCCTGTGAATGTGCAAAGGTGCAGCTGGCCCCTCGGGGGCATCCTCCTCTCTGTTTCATGTCTCGGCACATGTATGTCTTGTACTTGCTGTGCTGAGGAGGCTGACAAGGTTAAAGAAACCAGGTGAGATACCTGAATATAAGTGCACTTAACCAAGAGCTGAACGTATCCTCTTATTAAAGGCCTGATGTTTGATTGTTGATAATTCCTTCAATTTAAATGTACCCAGAAGTACCTAATGTGAAATAAATGACTGGAGCAAGTATTCATGTTTGGTTCTTCAACAGAACTAATAGATTCAAGAGTAAATGTTTTGACAACTAAGTCACTATTCAGGTTTTTAAAACATTTTTATTCAAATTCCTTACTGGAGCTTGATTGGAACACAGCTGTATGTTTCAGGAAACAGTTAAGTGGGCAAAACTGATATAGGCTGAAAAAAATAGCCATGCTTAATCAGAAAGTGCCAAATATTCATCAAGCTTTGTGGTTGATTGAAAATAAATACAATTTACAGTTACTTTTTGCTTTCTGTTAGCTCAAAATGGCACTTGAGTATCCCTTTGAACTCTACGAGAGTTAAATTTCATCAAGTTCCCTTTTACCCCTCTTTAGACTAAAAATCTCTTAACTATCTATGATAATTATTTCCGTCAATAGTTGAGTATCCAATCTTACTCCTACACAGATCAGCAGGGTATGGGTTGTCTTCTGTATATTTAAGTTTCCCAAGAAACGACAACTTACTGCAACCTTGCTGTCTGCATGTACGCCCATTTGCCAGTCTCTCTGAATAAATTTTGACAGAAGGCCAGAGGTGGTCTCAAAGACATTTAAGTTCCTGCAGTTTTTACAGCAGAATTAAATCAGAGGCAGAAATATCCTATCAGAGTTCCCACCAAGGAAAAGGTCTGTAAAAGTAAACACTTGCTTTCTGAGAAACTCAGCCAAAAGATGTAAATCTGTAAGAAGCCATCTGCAAACTGTTTTTTGGTTTGTTTTTTTTTTTGCCACCACTGTAGTGAAAAAAAAAAAAGGATTTAGGCAGGGTATACATAAGCTGCACAGCCCTCTGCTGGCCACTGCTGCCAGCCAGCAAAACTCTGCCCAACACTCAGCAGATGTACCCTTTCCCACTTGGGAGGCTTTGGGTTCCCTTCCAAGTGGCACAGCATGTACCAGGTCTAGGCGATGGACTCACCAGAACAAAAACCCTCACTGTTTTTCCCACCCCGATTTCCACTTGTGTATTCCTACTGCTTTTCGTTTTGCTGGCAACCATGCTCATTAGGCATCCCAGTGAACCAGTGAATGCAAAAAGGTAGAACAGCAGAAATAATTCACTCTGATTTTGCCTTTTTTTTTTTTTTTTGGCAGAGATAATCTTTCTACTAGTTCAGCTCCCTGAACCAGCTCTCCAAGAGGATGAGTGCCAAAGCAAGGGAGGGAGTGGGAATGTGTGATAGGCAGCTCTGTTTTTCAGCAGCAGGTAGTATTTATATCAACTTAGCTATACAACAAAATGAGATCAAAGGAACATGTGATAAGATAACTATGAGATAAGCTAATATATATATTTGGCAACATAGTTTCATTTCTGAACCAAAAAATTTTGCTTCAGGAACTTAGATTGCACCTTTATATTAAGTCTTCCCAAATCTTTAAACTTTACAGATCATTAAGCACAGGTATAAGAAAAAAATCATTAACACAGAGCCATCTGGCTGAAATGTGTCACATTAAAACAAACCCAAGAAAATTCCCACAGATCATAGTGCTAGGCACCCCGGCTTCTCTTCCCCACCCTGTAGTCAGGAGAGTTGTTTGTTCATTTCCCTAAGCTCACAGCTGGATCAGACTGTTTTCTTTTCATCCTAGTGAGCTATGCAAATTAATGCAACAGGTATTGGAGAGGGATTGTGTTGTTTTGTGTTTTTTCTTTCTTGTTTGTTTCTTTTTGATAAATATGACACAGCAGTGATATTTTTCATCAGCTCCTCGTCAAACCAAATCTCTCCAGATGACATTAGTAAACCGCTACTGTTAGATACAGTCAATAAAATTTAGGGGTAAGCATTTCCTAAATGATTTAGCTTTTACCTGTTGCTGATCTGTTCCTTTCTTGCTGTGATTCTGGATATAATCAACTAAGCCATGAACCACAGTCCTCACAGCAACTAGTCCATTTTCCAGTTGTTCCCATGTCGGAGGTGGAGCATCTATTGCATTGACAGCAAACAGAGCATAAAAAGAAAAGTCAGAAGGATTTTCGAAAACCAGGTACAAAGAGACCATCAGTATCACACAACTTCACTAGACAACCAAAAATATTTTATCGGAAATGTGCGTCATGAGATAAAAAGTGTTCAGCACCTTAATTCAGGAATATGTACCACTTAAAGAATAAAGCTACCTATTGACTCAAGATTGAGCCACACAAAATATCAAATGAGCCAGCAAGACTATTATTAGCATGTCAAATTATTTCCTTTTACCAAAACTTTCATATCCCATAAGAACTCCAGAGTAAACGCATTTTACAAACTCTGCACATAATAGAAAAAAAATCGGGCTGAAAATCCCTCTTTGCATTCAGACTCCTGTAGGTAAAATCATTCTGTACAAGCCATCATCACTGGCCTAAATAATGCAGGCACAGTCACTGAACAGCAACAGAAATTGATGCCTCTCACACGGAAAAATGTCACAAGGCAAATCTACGTATCAGACCACCATCTTAACATACAGCAGTGTGAATAAACAGTGCAGTCTTAATTCTATAGGGGCACTTGTTCTTTCTAGCCAATTTGCTAGAATTTAATCTATTCTAGCAGATGACACTCCCACCATGTGCCTACACACTCTGTTGCAAAAACACAGGACCTCAAAGTGCTTCACTAAGTGCCTTTCAAGATCTTTAGCAAAATTACATTCTATTCTGCTCACAAGGACCAAATTCTTCCAGAGGAACTTCAACATACCTATAGAACAGCAGGGAAGCAACTCAACAGCACAGAAGAGAAACATCAAGATCAGACTCACCTACTGAAACTGAGTGTGGCTATTAGTGATTCCACTTTCCGTATCAGTCTTTGGCTAACAAATTTGCAGTACACACACAGTTTTGTCCCTGACTTGTTACAGTATGAAAGATTTGGGAAGAAAGCACTACAACTCCTTTAACTGTAAAATACAACTGGTCCTCATTTGAAAGGTAAGTTTGTTTATTTAAACAAACAGAAACTAAGAACTACAACTTTTCACCTCCTGAAGTCATAGTTTAGGCCTTCACACTATTTTGATACTGATTTTACAAATACTAATGGGTATAAAATAAAACTTCAGCCACAGCACTCTCCATTCTGTCCCTTCCCTTCTCCCTCAGGTGGTCCATCCTTACAGTGCTGCTACCTTTTTCAACAATTTCCATCTTTCTCTCCTCTGTCAACAGCTTAGATTTTATTTCCCAGTTATATTCTTTACAACTAACTTCCCCTCCCCAGACTGCCTTTCGCACCTTTGCAGAATTACATATTAACCAGAAAAATACTAAATTCCCTAGGATAACAAGTCTAGATTGATTTTTGCACAGCTTCTGTCTATTCAATCTATCAAAATTCTACTTTGGAATCCAAAATTGTTTACACAGAAGATGCCTTATGATTTTAAGCTGCCTCTAAGAGAGTCTTCTGAGTGCAATGTCTGCAGGCCAGAGACCTCAGATCAAAAACTAATACACAGAATTTCTAGAAGAAAAAGACACACAATTTTTAGATAAGTTAGTGAAGTCCTTAATCTTGAAGACTTCCCCTAGTTTGTAAACAAATTATTTGCTCTGGTAAAGAACTGGAGAGAAAAAGATATCTCAGAGTTTCTATCTAATTTCCTTCCTAGTAGCTGGTACAACGCTGTGTTTTGGATTTAGGATGAGAACAAAGTTGATAACACACCAATGTTTTAGTTGTTGTTAGGTAATGTTTACACTAGCCAAGGACTTTTCAGCTTCCCATGCTCTACCGACTGAGAAGGCTGCAGGTGCACAAGAAGCTGGGAGGGGGGCACAGCCAAACTGGCCAAAGGGACATTCCATACCATGTGACATCATGCTCAGTACCTAAACTGGGGGAAGCTGGCCGGGGGGGGCGCTGCTCGGGGACTGGCTGGGCATTGGTCGGCACGTGGTGAGCAACTGTACTGTGCATCACTTGCTTTGTGTGTTATTATTATAATATTATAATTTTATTTCAATTATTAAACTGTTTTTATCTCAACCCACAA